AGCCCGCAGCCCAGCGCGGCGCTCAGCAGCCCCAGGCGCAGCACCCAACTCCAGAGCCGCATGTCCGACGGTCCCCCCCGCCCCCCCTTCGCCCCTGCACCGCCGCCCGGAGCTGCCAGCTTTGGGAGCCTTCGCGCGAGTTTCTCCGCTGCTTCACCTTCTCGGGCGAGCCCCCCCTTCCACTTGCTTTTTTCTTTTCTTTCTCGCTTTCCTCCTCAAGGTGTGTGCTCCACTCCCCCCACCTTTGAAAAATACAGTCCAACTCCTCCTGGTTGGCAATTAATTCCTCTCCCCGCTCCTTTATCTGCCTTACCCCCCCTCCAACAGCTGGTTGCCTTCCTCCTTGTTTTATTTCATTTTATTTTATATGATTTCTTGCTCTTAAAAAAAAAAGCTCCTCTAAGGCACTGATCCGCTCAATTCCCTCCCCCCCCAAAGATGCTCTAATTTATTTATTTTTTGCGTCCTTTATAACACAAGCCACAGCCCCCTCTCCCCCCACTCCCCCCTTCCCTCCCTCCTTCTTCACAAAATGAAAGGAAAGAGGGGAAAAAAAATCCCTCAGAAGATGAGTAAACAAGCGTATGCTAATCTGCTCCCGAGCGCTCCACCTTCCCGATTGAATGAGTCCCTGTTAAAACTGCGGGGATCATGACTAATCAATCAGTTTGGAGAGGCGAGTTACGCAGCCAGCCTCCACTTCGCCGTTCTTCACTCCCTCTTCTCCACCCCCCCTTCTTCTTCTTCTTCTTCTTTTTTTTTCGGGGGGGGGGAGACAATCTTAAAGTAACAATTTAATGAAATTCTGTACACACCCCCTTACGGTCCTCCCAGCCCTCCTCATTTCTGCTCAAAACACACATTCCTGTTTTTGTTTTGTTTTGCTTGCTTCTTTCTCTTCTTCACCCATCCCTTATTATTATTATTATTATTATTATTATTATTATTATTTCCCCTCTCCTGGCGGGAGAGAAATGTATCTCTTCTCTCAGGATCCCCTTTGCACTTTGCTGGTAAACCTCTTCCCTTTCCATCGAACATAAAGAGTCCTGAAACTTGATTCTCAGATTTAAAAAAAATTCTCATTTTCTCTCTCTCTCCCTCTCTCTCTCTCCTCTCTCTTTCCTTTCATTTCTCACTTTGCTTCTTTTTCTCAGTCCTCTCCTCTCTTCCTCCCTTCTCTCCAATCCTTTCCCTCTTCCTCTTTCTCCCTTTCTTGCCTTTCTCTTCTGCTTTCCCTGTCCTTCTCCTTTCCCTTAGAATTTCCTTAAAGTTATGCAGTGATGAGCCGCCCCGTCCCCTCTTCCATGAGCCCTCTGTGAGGTTGCCAGCATCAGGCTTCAGCTAACCTAAATATTGTTTCCCAAATCCTCACGGAATTAGCAGTAGACAGCAAGGAAAGGCATTTCCCAGGACGTCTGCCTTTCAGGAGCTGTAGACCTAGCGGAACGGGGTCTCTCAATTCCCCCGTATATTCTTACAAACATTCTATTGATTGTTAGAAATTATTTTCATTGTATATTAACAACGAAAGAAGAATACTAATTTCCCCAACTTCAACCGAAGCAATTCAGGTCCTCTGACATTGTGTAAGGCACAGGTAAGGGTCTGACCATTTGGTGCTTTGAAGATCTGTTTGTGAACTAGGGCATATATGCGATCCCCCCCACCCGCCCCTTCATGGAACTCACAAGCTCCCCCTTACGGCAAAATAGTTCTTCTCTTTTTCCCCTCCTAGTGTTTAATAAGTCAAAATGAGCTAGTGAGGGTGGTTTACAAATTATTAGTTACCAGTCTGTTCAAAAAATGTAGTGATAAAACAATGCTATGTGAAGTTTGCAATGTGGACCGAGTCCTGGAAGTCAGAAGTGGGATTAACACCACTAACTTGTGACTTTCTTCCCTCAGGTTGCTCCTGTCCACAGGGCTGCTGTACATTCTTAGTTGGGATCCTGGCTCCAGGCTTCAGGGAGAGAGAGAACCAGGGGTGAGTGTGTGCTGGTAAAAATATAAAGATGTGTAAGATGAGCAAATGTCTCGGACATCCCCTCCATAAAAGCTGGAATGTAGCATGTGGGGATTATGACACCATTCTGAAAACAAGAGATCCCAGATTCAGATCTTTTTCGGGTGGGAAGAACTTGCCATAGAGTCTTAGGCCAAGAACGTCTGAACTCAGTTTCTCTGATTATAAATGAAAATCACATTATACCATAAATATATTTTCAGAGAGTGGCTGGAAGAAAAAGAATTTTGTGTGCGCAATGCTCGGACAAGGAACTTGCCTAAGCAAAAAAGCTCTCATTTTCAAAAATTTTAAATTACCTATGTAAGTCATAAAGTTGCCAATCAATAAACAAAGAGCTATGTTGAATTACATCAGTTATGTCATTCAGATTCCCCCTTCTTCCCTGACAGAAGGTGGAACATGAGTAATGACTCACTTCATTTGTGGCAGTTAAGCATTTGGAAGTTGTACGTCTTCCAATGGATGGTGAAGTCATTGTGTGCAGTGGGTTTGAACACACCTAGATATTTGGGATTTTATCAGCTTTCCAACTAGGAGCAAGAATGTGAGGTTTTCGGTTCCAATCTTCATTCATTCCACCCCGGTCAGCACTTTGCTCTTCATTTCTCTCCCCTTCCCCTTCCTACCTGTAAAATGGGAATATCTACTTCACAGGTTTATTTTTCCACAGGTGTTCAGGGGCACAATACTGTGTAAACTAAAGAATTGCTATACAAACATTATTTATTCTACAGTTACTGTCAAGGACAAAAACAAAATTGAGGAGATCAAGTATCTTCTCTCTATGGTAGTCAGGAAAAGGAAGGGACCAAGTCCATCTCTTACAGATCCTTGGACTCCTGACCTCAGTTTCCAAATCCATTGGGAACATTTGGCAAAGCCTCATATGCATCAGTTCACTGAACCTACAATTATTGTGCAAGCCACTCCCACTCTTTATGCATACATTATGCATGTATTTATGTATTTGCTTGTTCTTAATGGAATACACAAAATTAGATGAATCGCAACCTTTGCCTCATAAACCACTTTAATCAATGAGCTATGCCTGACCTTCTCACTTATTTATATGGAATAACTTATCTTACAGCACTCTGAGAGGTAGAGGCAAGAGGACTGCCAAGTTTGAGGCCAGCCTGTACAATTTAGCCAATTAGTAAGACCCTGTCTCAAAATTTAAAAAAAAATTACAAAGCGGAGGGGCTGGAAATATAGCTCAATTCAAAGGCTTTGTACCCAGTTGTTAGTACTGCAAAAAAAAAAAGTAATTACTGTGTTGCTATCTATTTTTCACTCCATCACTTGGTTTCTTTTCATCTGAGACTCAGGTGACTGGGAGTCTATTTCTTACCTGTATAAGATCTTCAAACTTTTGTGTTTAGGAAAAATGAAAGATCAGGAGTTAAAGATTCCCAAGATTACTTACAAATTTGAAATATAATGAAGCCCCCAAATATTACAGTATAGAAACAGTTCCCATCTAGTCACCCTGTACTCGGTCAATTCTCATCCCCTATTCCCACTCTTTTAAGTTTCAGGGAATTTTTTTTTTTTTTTTGGTCCTAAGCCCTCTTTTCCTGTTTCTTCACTGTTGGAATATGGTTCTTCAATGTGCATTTTATTTGGTAATGACTAAAAACCCAGGGAGAGTATATGTCTCTGCAGGATGTTTAGAAGAGCAACAGCAGAGCAGAGCCCTAAAGACTGAGAATGATTTGAAGGGTGAAGATGGTTCAAAGTACACATTTCAGAGTCACCATGACCCAGGTTCCTATGACCTTCAGCCAGCTGCTTAATTTTTTTTTGAGCTTCAATGACCGTATGGTGGAGTAGGCATGAGGATTAAATTAGTATGCTACATGACATAGTAGGTGGTCAATAAATACGCACTCCTTTCCTTTCAATTGATCTAAATTTTATGACTCTTGGGCTTTTTTGTCATCTTTCCTCTATCCAGAGCCAGAGTCCTGTCTACTTCTTACTCCAAGCCAGGCAGATTATTCTCATGTCAGAACTACTAGGGCAAGCATTATCTGTCTTGCAGAAGCTGGAACTAAATGAGATAGGAACTTGCATTGTTCTTGGTGTCCTGTTTATGTCTTTCCTCCCAGATTAGAACATTTCAAGGGCAAAGATCTTCAAGGGCCGGTTCAGTCACCTGCTTGGAGAACCTTATCCTCATGGCAAAGTTCCCCAACGTCCTGAAGGCTCCCTCCTCTGGGCTGTCATAGAACTTCTTCTGACTTTCCATCAGCACATTCCTGGGGCAAATTACCACAATTATCTATCTTCTTCAATCCCCTTTCCATTTAGGACAGAGACTGGTGGATTTATAATTGTTATTTCCCCAAGGGCTTAGACTAGCACTTTGCACATAGCCGTCTGTACCACTGTTGAGTTTAAATACACACACATGGCCAATCATGGTACTATAAAATATTAGGCATTTAAAATAATTAATGAAACCTTCTATTTTCTCAGTCTCAGCTGTCCCAGATGATGCATCCATGGACACCCAGAGAGACATAGTGAAGTTCACAGACTGCTCAAAAAGTGGACTTTAGAGTAGAATAAATTGGATTTAAGTGTTATTTTTGCTAAAGAATAATTCTAATAACAGCTTACATTTATTAAATATATACTAAGTTCCAAACAGTGTGCACATGTTTTTTCTTGGCGAAGTATCGTTTAATCCTTATAACAAGGCCACCAAGGCATTCTAATAATCAGCCCATTTTTTTAGGAGAGAAAAACTGAATCAGAGAGATTAAATAAATATTGGAGAACTCAGTCAGTTCAGACCTAGCACTCTACGTACTAGCTGCGGTAACTAGGAATAAATCACTTAACCTTTTGAGTCTCATTTTTCATTTTTACAGATTCCATAATGCTATCTGGGAGATTAGATGATTAATATTATGTTGTACTTTGACAAGTACACACGTAAGTGTTGAGCAAGCACTGGCTTCTTTGCTTCCTCCTCAACTGTAGTTTAATTGTGTGAATGTAACATATATGCTGTAGTTGATGATTATGATAATCATGTCAGCAGTAACAGGGACTCCCCTGTATCAGGTTGCTACTATGTGTTTGACTCTACTGTGTTTTTAATATTTCTATTTGCAAGTCTAGAAGGTAGGTTTGAACTCAATGTATTTGAATTGCTCAGTATGTTTCTATCTTTCTATTTTCTGAAATCATATTTAAGGATAAATTTATTCTCCATTCAAAGGACTTTGGAGCATCTCTATGGTTCTTCTGAAATAAAAAAAAATGATTTAATAATTGTTCTGAATCAAAAGCCACAAAGAAAGAGAGCTGGTGCTCACACTATGCACCCGAGATGGGGGGAAAGAAGCAGACCTGGCAGGCTCATGATATTTTCCTCTGTACTTTTGGAACTCTTTTGTGATCAGTAGTAGATGGTACTTCTACTGATAGAATTAACTGGTATCCTCTCTTAATCTTCCTCCAGGCTAATGACTGGGAAGCTGAGACAGAAACTTCTAGATTCCAACACCAGTCCTTTGACTCATGCCAAAGAGCCCCATTTTGTTTATCTCTGGCAATCACAGCAGTATTTCTTTTGTATGTTTTCTTGTTTGTTTGTTTTTGTTAACATTTCTTAAATTTAGAATTTCACTTGAAGATGAAGACTACTGATGCACAATGTATGTTTTTCTTTACAATTTCTAGAAAAACCATCATTTTAGATTGTATTATTTTATAATTTTACTCTTTGTAATAATAATTAACTATAATTTATCATGACAGATACTATCTTGTTGGTTATGAATATGATTTCATTTAATCCTCAGAACTATACCCTGTAGTTTTTCTTATTCCCATTTTGTAAACAAATGAAAAAAATTAAATTTAAAATAATGAGATTTAAAAAAAAATTGGTTGGATTCTGTGACACATTTGAACCCCAATCTGTGTCACTCCAAAGTCTACATTCTTGACTACTTGGCTGCTCTTCCTCTAATCCACCTTTAATCTTTCTATTGTTTTACATCGGAAACAAGAAAATATCTCCAAAATCTTGTGGAAGAAGAAGCTTTGTGAGAAATCAGATGTGGGTAACTGAGGGCTGTGTTCTCTTCATTTAGTATTCATTGCCTTGTTTTGGTGACTGGAAAACAAAATGTTTGATAACACTTTCCACTTAATTCTGGGATAAAATGTATCTGGTGGCTTATTTGAAAGGAGGCTCTGAGTCACATAATAGGCCATGCTTTTTGCTCTCCTTTTTCCAGAAGTTGCAGAATCACTGCCCAACTGGCCCCTTCTTATAGTAAGTGAGGTTGAAGGCGTGAAGTTAATTGTTGTGTGTTGAAGACCTTGCCGTGGGAAACTGATCCAGCATCGCTTTCTGATGAACTCAATCTATACCAATCAAGCATATCATGACTTGGTGACACCTTCTGTGTGCTATGCATGAACCAAAGCCATATTCTTACAACTCAGTGAAGTTGGTTTTGCTTTGTTTGTTCGAAAAGATGAGGAAACTCAAATTCAAAAAGAAAGCTCAATTTGCCCCCTATCACCTATCTACATGATGTACATCAAAGATAGGACTCTATTTAGGTGCTTTTACTCAATTTATTTTAAATGTCACTGACTCCACAACATTGTCTCAGTTAAACATTGAAATGTATCATTTCTAGAGACTGTTTAGCTTTTTTGCTGGTCTTTTCAGTTGCATTTATGTATCTATTTTTCTGTGCTGGACTTTATGCTTCTTGAAGATGAGACCTGAGTTTTGTGCCCTTTGCCATCGCCCAGGGAGTTTATCTGTGTTTTATGCCAAATAGGAGCTCAGTGAACATTTGATGACCTCCATGGGACTTTCATAAACTCTAGCTGTGGGACTTCCAGAAAAAAACTATCCTTCTCTTAGATCTCCATAGGTTGAGTCATTCAAATCCTTAAAATCCAGTTGAAGAAAGCCAGGGCTGGCTGTTTCCAGAATTCTCTCTCATGCCCTTTACCGATAGGAAAGAATCTCCCCTCTTCTGAAACTCTCTCGAATCTAATTCGCGATCTGTTCAGCAAGGTCTGTCACACAACCTTATGCTACTCCCAAGCTTGTTTCACCCTCTGGAAAGTGGAAATACCCATGTCTTCTTCCCTTCACAGAGAAGGGTTGTAAAATGATATGATCCGAACTAGTCAAAGTGCCAGCACAAAGAAAAGTCACTACAGAAATGGCTCCCTAGTTCTGCAGTCTTACCTACATATCCTCTCTGGCCAAATAGGATGTGACAACACGGAGAGGAAGTTCTTTGGCTTAGAAACAGGCTTGGGGGCACAACAAGTGTGGGTTTAAATCTGGGCTCTGTCACTTACAAGATACACAACCCTAGGCAAATTACCTCAGCTCTCTCTTGGTCTCCATTTCCTCGTCTGTAAATAGGCTTAAAATTACCTACTTTGCAGTATTGTTGTGAGGCCTGAATGAGATAGTGAAGCCCCTGGCGCCGTGCCTGGCTCAGAGGACATATTAGAGATGCAGCTGTCTGCATTAGTGTCTGTGTCTCATACTGCACCCAGCCCACTGCCAGCACTCCCAACCCGTGAGTGTTAGGCAGAGACTCACACAACTTTATAAGGGCAGTTTCAAACAAACACTTGTTCCAGAGGATTGATTCCATTCCACACAGAAGGATTCATTCATTCTCTGTCCGAACTTCATGAGGGAGAAAGACAAATGACATTCTATTTTCACTGGACCTCGGTTCTGTTCCTCCCCTCCTCTCCCCTCCCCTCTCTTCTCCTCCCTTCATCCTTCCTCTCTCCTTCCTTCTTTCTTTAATTTTAAATTTCAGACTCTCTAGGGACTAAGGAAAGTAACCCAAGGAAAGCAACATGTGAATAAATATATCATTTATGATTTCTAGGTGTAATTTTTCTCCATTCCACATCATGTTTGTCAGTCATGCTAGGCAAGCAGTGGTGAAACTGAAGCATCTACTTAGAAAGGGGATGTGATTTAAGTACTTGATTTGTCCACTGACATGACTGGCAAATGCCCTGTCTAGGCATTAACATGGGGACTGGCTTCATATTCTCCTGTAAATATAGGTTTGGCCCTTTTTGATATTACCAGCAGGGCTGAACATAGGTTGATAGTTGTAGTGGAATCTTGGTAATAGTTGCTGACATTCAGAACTGAAGAATGGAACCTTAGAAAAGGAGATCAGTCGTGAGAGAGCTGCTAGAGTACAAGACTTTTCCTCTCATTCCCCTCCGCTCCTTCTCTTCTTCCTTGATTCTTATATAACATACTAATATAGATACAAACCATTATCTCAGCAATAAAGAGAACTGGGTTCTAACACAGAGCTGATGAAATGAGCCTTTGGGATACAGATCTAATGATACGGACACCTGCCCATCTCCAACCCATGTCATAAAAATTTCAACCCCACAAGCTGAAAACTTTACAGTCACTGTGCCTCAATGTCACATTACTAGTTTAGAGCATCCAGACCTGAGTAGGTTCCTCTTTACCCACTGTGGAAAAAATGTATAGACTTAAACATTTCTGGAGCATAATATAAAGTTAGGAATTACTATTATTATTGTTATTATTATTATTATTATTGACTGTGAATACTAACAATCCAATCATTGATCCAGGCTCAAAGGCAATTATTCCACTTAGGGGCAATTAGTTGACTGGATTTATGCCTTACAGTTGGAGAAACTGCACAATGATTATTTTCTCCAGCCTTTTTGACATGGGTGTCATTATTTTTAGCAAAAATATCAACACTGTAGTGAGCGTCAGGCCTCACTAAGTTTGATTAGAAGGATTTCTTATGAGTGTCACATCTTGCAGAGCAGGGTATCCTTGATGCCAACGACTATGAAGATTTTGATATTCTAATAAATTTCTCTGATTGTTTTCATACACTATACCATTATGGTATATGCTGCTGAACTAATAGAACCTATGGACATATATACCCCAAGAAAGACAGTAATAGAAGGAAGCTTATCTAATAGATGCTATCTGCATTTTTAAAGATGAGAAAATAGAAGAACAGAGGGAAATATCAACTAACTCTAGGCTTTGCTGGAGCAAGATCTCAGACCTAGAGAGTGTCCTATACACATGTCCAATGTACTCTAACACAATTCCTGTAAATAGCACTAGTTAAACTAAATCTTTTTAGTAGAGTATGGTAATAAAAACACTTTTAAGGTCTACAAATGTCATTAAAACATTGAATGGGCACAATTATCTGGAAATACTAGCAATGACATAATTAGGAAAATGATGTCATAGTCTTGCAAATGTTGTTCCCTTTTCTGAGTGGTCCTAATCCAAGGAATTGCACTTCTCCACAATGCAGAAAAAAAGATTGCTGCAAAGATTAAAAGGCCTTCATAAGAGTCTTCATCATCATTGGCATTCTTTGTCCTTGAGGAGTGACTATCCACATCCTTCACATTTTCCCAGTAAATTGTCACATTCACTGGAAAATTATATATGTATATTGCACTCCTCTGTGACACAGGTAAGTTCTTGAGGTAATTATATACTTTTGCTGTTGTTGTTTTCCAGATTAATAAATTCCAAACAACACCTTTTTTTGCCTGAAGAAATATGACAGCTCCAGATGGTGTCCCATCAAATGCTGAGCGTGCTTCTTGGATCTTCTTTATGGAGACCAGGTCCTTGGTGGGACGAGCCACCTCTGGCTGCCAGCTTCTACAGAGGAGAAAGGAAGTTCAGGCTTCTGCCCCAGGCTCACAGCTGAGCCCTGATGGAGAAAGTTGGGATTTTGTTGAGGATCAGCTGCTCACCCTTAGCCTGGACCCACAGAAACATGAATCTCTTGCTTGGATACATATTTTGTTCATGATGTGATGTCTCATAGCTGTGCTTTCCATGTCCCCAGATGGCAGAGGAAAATGAAACATCTCACCTCATTTGATTATTCTTCAGATCTCCGTCATGACACTAATTACACAGACTAATTAGCAGGCTCCTGGGTCCAGAGATTGTGAGCCACCTGAAGAGAGGGGGTAAATAGTGGAATTTGTTTGATTTTTATCATTGGCTCAATACTCAGTGCTTGGAAGTTCTGGGAAAGAGTCTAAAAACGGATATATACATTTGCTGGCTTTCTTGTAACACCAAGTGGTGCTTGGGCAGTTTCAATTTCTTAATTTAAGAAATACTATAATGTCAGACAATTGGGTTGCAGCCCTCACCCTCCAAAACTATAGTCAAGAGGGAAAGAAAATCTTAGAGAACAGCAAGTGTAGTAAAGCATGAACTGTGCTTAATGGAGGTGCTTACAAAGATCTGTTGGGTCTCCAGGGACAGATGGTTAATGTATGTGAGATATGAGGAGGGCAGAGGCTGGGTAAGGTTTCAAAGAGGAAAAACCAGCAGGAGTTGCAATGGAACAGAAGGAGCCATGGCATTTTCAGCGAGAGGGAACAGCATGTACAAAGGCTTCGTGGAAGTAGCCAGAAAGACAATGTGAGAAGTGTAGTTATTTGACTGGTCAGATCATACTGTACCTGTTGATCAAAAACCTTGGACTTTATCCTGAGACCAGGGGGAGATAACACATGGATTTATTTAAGAGACTAACACTGTGGACATTTTATTTTTAAAGGACTTTTCTGGTTATTGTTTAAAGAAGAGACTGCTGAACATTGAAAGTAAAGATACTGGAGTAGAGGCCACGTATGAGATGGTCAGGTTTGCACAAAGGAAATGCTTAGGGATGCATAAAAATGTCAGGAAGTAGAATCAGTATCGCTTGGTGATGGCAGAGGAATGAGATAGAAAAGTAGCGAAGTGTTGGAAATTAAGTAATTCTGGAACTGGACAATAACGAGCAGATTTGCCTCTCTTGTTTCCTTGTGTTCCAAGCTGAAATATGCTTCATCAGGAAACCATGACCTGGACAATATCTGGGTGGCCATCCCAATCCCATCAGTAGGAGTGAATTAATATTCAGGGCCAGATGGCTGTTAGCATCCTGACTATGCTAGAACAA